CTACAAAGATTTGTATTATTATAATAATAATTTAATATCATAATAATAATTTAATATCATAAAATAATTTATAATAATATAAAAAGATAATAAGAAATAAATTTATAATATAATTTACTTCAATATAAAAACAAAAAGATGGGGAGGGGTTGTTTGAATAGAATCACCCTCAGTTAATCATGTCTACCAATGAAGAATATCACAGCGGTGACTTTCATGAAGTCAGCTTTATCGACCAAAATGGTGAACTAAAAACCACCAAAATTCCTGTGGTTCAAGAACTTGCACGCCAAGGCCTCATGACCGATCACTTTCCCAAGAGGTTCATCGCCTTCCAACCAACAACACCGGAAAACGACCCTTGCCTCCCGGTAACTCCTCCGGTGATTGACCTAGCCAAACTACAAGGTGATGCCACCCGAGAGTCGGAGCTGCGGAGGCTGGCCGAGGCTGTCAAAGAATGGGGTACATTTCTGATCAAGAATCATGGGTTGGAAGATATGGTACTGAGTGATGCTAAGAATGTCGTAAGAGGTTTCTTTGGATTGAGTTTTGAGGAGAAGAAGGCCAACGTTGGATCGTATAAGAGTGTGGATAACATGGGATACGGCAAGAGCTTCGTAAAATCTGAAGACCAACTGTTGGATTGGACTGATAGGCTCACCATGAAAGCAGCTCCTGTGGATGAAGCAACTAATGGCCTCATGATATGGCCTAAAAAACCAGCAAACTTCAGGTGAGTTCACTTGTTAGTTAACTGTCCTTCAATTCCTTCTATACATAACACAAGTTTCCTAATGTATTTCTTACAGGCAAGCTATAGAAACATATGTGGAAAAATCAAGAAAAGTTCTCGATGGGTTGCTCCAAGACCTTGCAGCATCGTTATCACTAGATGAAAATGCTTTCCTACAATACTTTGAGCCGAAACAAAGTGAGGTCAAGGTTAGGGTGAATTACTACCCGCCGTGTCCAAGACCAGATCTGGCCATAGGAATCATGCCGCACTCTGACGCTAGTGGCCTCACGCTCTTGCTCGAGTTTGGAGCCACGAGTGGCCTCCAAGTGCTAAAGGACAATCTTTGGACGACCCTCCAATGGCCCGAGGATAACAGTTTGCTCGTGAATATTGGAGATTTGGTGGAGATTATCAGCAACGGAGTGTTCAAAAGCCCGTGGCATCGAGTGCGTACACAACTCGACGTGGAACGGTTTTCGTTGGCCTATTTCTATAACCCTCCGGCCAAGAGTGAAATTGGACCGGAGGTGGGAGGTGATTCTGCAGAGGTGACATATAAGAAGGTGGTGGTGGAGGACTATGTGTCTAATTTTTACAAAATTTCCCCAAGACCTAGTAAGGAGGCAATGGAGTATGCTAAGCTTACATAATTGTTGTTTTAATTTGGGGGTGTAAACATCCTTTTATTGCGCTTGTACTTTTGAGTTTGAAATATCCAATAGATCATGAATTACCTGAAATGAGTCATTGAGTGGTAAATTTGATCAATGATAGAAATTTTTTTAAGTATATAATATTTATACATGATAAATAGAACAAATAAATTTACACATCTTTTTTATTTTTGGTGAGGTTTGAACTCTTGAACTCCTAGGAGGTCAAATACTCGCATACCAAAGGACATTTTTACATACCGTTAGGCCAAAAACCCTTTGGTTATAAATGATTGACTTGTATGAAAAATATATTTTTAATACAATTATACAAAAGAAAAAGATTGTGAAACGGTAATCATATAATTATCAAATATGTTAACTATATTATAAGGGCAATCGCGCAATTTAGCGAGATAAATCTCGATTTTTTAATGTTTAGTTTTTATTATGTCTCTATCGATACAATACGATTTTATGTGGTTTTGAGAAAGTGAAAATGTTTTTATTTTTGAAAAAAATAAAAAGTTGAAGATAACATAAAATTTGAAAGAAAAAAAAATCAATATTAGTATCAAATTAACTATTTAATTCTCGTTTTTTTGGTGTAACTAATTTAGATTTAATAACAAAGTAATTTATTTTTGGTTTAATAATATAATTTTTTATAAAGATAGTAATTAAACATTCTACTAGAATTCAATAATTATCTTAATTATATTTTAGATTTTCTATATTAAAACTGATTATATATCTTGTATTTGATTATTTTTATCTGTAATTAGTTATATAAATTTAAAAATTGAGCTTTAATAAGTTGTATTTATGCAAAATTACTTGCAATCTTCAATTTTAAGTAATATATATAAATAAACAACACTCATACATAAAACATGTTTATTAAGAATTTTTATGAAATATTTTATAATATAGTATGGCGACGGCTATTGATGAACTAGAGATTGAAACACAAAGTGATGAAAATACTATTATATATGACGTACCCACAAATATCAAGTCCTTTTAATAAAATGATTTTCACTAATTATTACTCCTTTAAATAATAGAATAATTTAAAAACTCAAATATATTGGATTTATTGTATTATTTATTTGTTTTATTATAATACCAATTGAATTTCACAAGATATATTATAATATAGTATTTGTCCATATATCATTAAAGTAACACCTAACATCAAATATTACAATATACAATTTATTTGTTTTTAGTTCTAGTGTGAGTTGTAAAACCAAAATGATTGAATTTAGAATTAGAACTCTATACGAAATGAACGTTTAATAAATCATTTGTGAACAGTTTAGCAGAAAGTTCGTTTATTTAATCAAATGAACGAACATGAATAAAAAAATGTATTTGTTTAGTTGAACGAACAAACATAAATAAATGTCTCGTTCGTTTATTTGCATTCGTTCATTTACGCTCCTGAACGTCCGTTTATTTATGTTGGTCAATGTTCGTTTAGTTATGTTCATTTAACAATTGAATAATAATTCATAATAATTAAATATTTAAGAAGTCAACAATTGAATAATAATTAATAACAATAAAGAGTTAAGATTTTTCAAAAAAATAATAATAAAAAAGTGATACTTTAATGGAGGAGGACTTGGTTGGTGGTTTCTTTATATAATGGTTTCTTAACCTTTTCTTTTCTCTAAAATTTCGATGTGGGACGAGCCCCAAATCCACATGTGAGAAACATCGGTAACTTAGAGCAGCTCCTCCTTGGAGGAGGACTTGATGGTTTCTTCCCGGTTCTCACATCGGGTGTAACTTAAAAAAGTTTAGAGTAGTTCCTCATACATATACTCTTCTAGTCCCGCATCAAATAATTAGAGCAACTCTTCCTTCTAAGTTGCTATGTATATAATGCTTGCAAGGTTAAACTTTGTTACCTAGCCCAATGGCCTGAGCCCACATGAATGGGTTAGTTGGACCACCCCATAAAGTTAAGCCGATTCACCTTGTTTTGTTTAAGTTTGTTTGTTTACGTTCGTTTAACATCTTACAAACGAACACGAACATGAACACACCCATTTTCTAAACAAACAAACACGAACACCAAGAAAACTGTTTGTTTATTTTACGTGTTTGTTCTTTTGTTCGGTTAAGTTAAACGAACGAACATGAACAAGTCGTTGTTTCTATTCTTTCGGTTCATTTACATGCGTATTTAGAATCAACGAAATCCCTTTGATCCAAAACCTAGTACATCAATGATCGTTGAACCACTTCCCAAGAGGTTTAGATACCAACACCATCAACATTACTTCCTCATAAACACACCTGTAATGCTCGACATTGCAAAACTACATGGCCAACATCTGGCATAGGCTTAGGCAAGTTGGCGTACGGTTGATACTTTATAGGTTTAGGTGTAGAGGGCTTGATTTCAGTGTCATGGTCGTTTTGAGGTGGGGATTGGTGTCTCGAGGATTTACATTTGGTTCAACACTTTTGCCTTTGTCGATCGTCAAACCATTGTTTTCATTAAAGTTTTAGGAAGGATACTGGTGGTAGGAGGATGATGTTCGTCTTGACTTTTCCATTAGCTCGGCTTTCATGGGCAAACTAGATGTTTTTGTTACAGTATATACCATTTGGAGTTTGATCATATCCTGGATTGAACTATTTAGCCCACTAATGTAACTAACCACTTTCTGTCTCACCAATTTCGTTGTGTATTCGGTCACAAATTTTGTAACTTGGAGCATTCTAAGTACATTTTGTAGAGGATATGCTCGTAATCTTCTAGTAGAAACCGCTCCATCATCAGTTATTCACCCCTCGCCAAGATCTGACTGTCTTTGTTGTTGCAACACAAACCTGTCTCACCGTACTTTGGCAATGCTTTTGAATGGAAAATCAACCATCTTTATTTGTTGTTGTCTAGAATTCCATAACTTCGAAAAAGCGAGCGACTTCGATCTACTAGTCCAAATACTTGTTGACACCCATTGTTCCATTCATCATGCTTGTCTATCCTTATTGCTTGTTGTGGTTAATTAGTGTTATTTTGGCTCGTGAAGGTGATTGTTAGAGTAGTGACGACTATGGTGGAAGTCACTGTGATCCCTTCAAGGTCTGATTTAGTGATAGGTTGTTGGTCCGTCGTTTACCGTAGGTGAAAGGAGACAAGGAACTAATGCTCTAGTACCAACTAAACTAACATAGTGGGCATACATGGATAGGTTGACAAGTGTTGGAAACCTAACGGTGAAGAGCTTATGTTGATCCTCTCTCTCAGTGATTTAATGATAATCCCTTTTTCCTTTCGATGTATTTATGTATCTGTAATTTCAGTTCCAG